GACGGGCGCCTGCGGCCTCAGGTGAACGACCCTCGGGGCGCGGGCCCAGGCGGGGCGGGCTCCCGGTCGGCCAGGCCGAGGGGCTACGCTTCGGCTGGGGCTCAGCCCAACGCACCCCGCTTCGTGGCTGAGCTGGCGGCCTGGCGGGCGTCGACGGCCCCCCGCTGTCGCCCCTTCCCCGCCAGCCCGCGCGCCGAGTCTGACATTCGCAAAGCCCTCGTCGTCCGGGCTCCGCGGGAAGGGTGGGCCATGGGAGCACGTCCTGGGGCCCTAGGCGCCGGTCACGAGTGGTCCGGAGTCTCCCACGCCCGCGGCCAGCGCTGGAGAGGGACGCAGCTGGGAGGAACCAGAGGGGCGGGGCCGGCGCTCACCCGCAGGTAGGGATCCGAGGCCCGGAGTCGGGGAGGCCTGTTCTGGGGGCCTGGGGAGCAGCCTGACCCCTACAGGAGGCCAGAGGGGAAGCCCCGAGGGTCACGCACGGGAAAGCAGGTCGTGGCAACGCCCCAGCCACACTTCTGGGCACCGCCTCTCAAGCGCTCCATGTCCCCGGTCCCCACCGCCCTCCCAAGGGCTCCCCATTGTGCCCAGAGAGAGGGAGTCTCAGCGAGCAGACTGAAGCCTGCCTCGACCCTCCCTGCGTCTGGGTTGTCCCCTTGTGGTGAGGGCCCTGTGGACCTTAAAAATAGAAGTTATTTTACCAGCAAAAATGAGTGTATTTGGGATCAGCGAAGAATTGCTATTCAGGACAAGCAAGCTGTAGCAAAGCCACAGGCGAGTCCAACAGAGTTGCGGGTGGGGACTTGGAACGAGAGTCCGGTGGAGGCCAGCGAGGGTTCAGAGAGGTGACGCTTCCTGCCCCCCAGCCGCTGGGCGGCGGTCCCTTGTTCATCTTTCCCGCGGGGCCTGTCACTGGTGGCTCTCCGCGGAGGGTTCTCCGCCAGGGTCTGTACCTCGCGGGGAGCACGGCGTGAGCGCGCCCCCTGCTGGCCTCCCCACTCCGTTCCCGGCGACGTTTCCCGTGTTGGGTTTTACCAGGGACCCAGAACCAAGGAACGTGCGGAGAGAGCGGTGATGGAGGGAATTAGCGCCGGCGGTCTGGGGGCTCGCGAGTCCAGAATTCGCGGGGCGAGCTGACGGGCTGCAGACCCCCGGAAGAGGCCAAGGCTGTCTGGGGGCCTCCGTCGCTCTCCGCCCAGCGTGAGTCTCTCCCGGCCTTCAAGTGATTGGCGGCGGCTCACCCGCATTATGGAGGGGCATGTGCTTTACTGCGAGCCTGCTGTTTTAAATGTTAATCTCACCTAGAAAACATTTTCACAAATATCTGGGCACCCTGGCCTCACTCAGTTGACACAAAGTTATCCACCACAGCACCCAGCCCCAGAAAAGCTCCCCCAGACAGGCTGCGCCCTTTCGCCTACAGAGGAGAGCATCGTGGCCTCCAGGGGCCAGGGGAGGCTCCGGTCCCATGGCCGTTGGAGCCAGGGCTCCGCCGTAACTCAGAGCTCCGGCTCACCTTCCGTGCTGGCCACCTTTCTTCTCCCGTTGGGCCCGTGGGGCCGGCGGGCGGTGACCTGGGAGCCGCTGTGCCGAGCTGTGGCTGCGTGTCCTCCCTGTGTGACCCTGGCCGGCTCTCTGAGCCTGCCGCCTCTTACCTGTGGGGTAGGGCTGACGGGCAACCACCTGGGAGGGCTTTCGTGAAAAGTAAATGAGGTGATGCCTGCGAAGTGCGTGTGGGACACCTGGGCAGCCAGCTGTGCTGCTCAGTAAGTGCTCCTGAGCCCGCTCTGAGCCCCCAAAGTGCTCGCCTTCCCAGACTCCTGTGTGGCTGCTCACACTGACAGACCTTAACACCCACTCTCCCATCCTGCCCTCGCGGCTCATGCCCTCCCCCAGCAACTTCCCCGTCCCATCTGGGCTGGGGGAGTCCGGCTGCGCTGACCTGTCTCTGTCCACCTTGACCATGACTCAGGCCAGTCCGCGGCTCCCACGGCCGAGTTCCCTCCTCGGACCCACCTCCGCCCGGCCCTGCCTCCCAGTCCGGAACCTGACTCCCCGCTTCCCGGAGAAAATGCCAGCAGCCTGAAGAGGGCCCCGAGTGTCTGTACCCACAGACCCCTCCTCCCTCGGCTCCGAGCATCTCACTGGGGTCTTGTCTCCAGGCGTCATTTTCTCTGCTACAGAGCCAGCCCCTCGGCACACAGATGCACCGTCACTGTTCCTGAGAGGGGTCTCTCCGCTTGACCCCCCACCATCTGTGCCCCCCTCTGCAGCAAAACTCCTTAGAAGAGTTGCCAGGACTCAGTGTCCCCATGACCTCTGCCGTGCACCTTCTGGAAATCGAGGTGCAATTCACATGTCATAAAATTCCCTTTTAAAGTGTCCGTTTCAGTGTTTGTCATGTTCACAGGGTTGTGCGGCCAGAGTGTTCTGTCAGCCACAGTGTCCCTCGCCATTACCCCCTCCTGGCCTCTGGCACCCGCTGACCCAGGCTCTGTGGGCATGGCATGTGGACGGAGTCACAGGGCCGGTGGCCCTGGCGCCTGGCGCCCCTCACTCAGCACCACGCGCCTGAGGCCGTCCGCGTTGGGGCGGCCGTTGGTGCGTCACTCCTCAAGGCTGCGAGCCGACCCGCCGTGTGACTGGACTGCCTTCCGTGCGTCTGTCCCCTGCTGATGGCACCTGGGAGGTTGCCCGTCCGGCTGTGTGTCCGTGCTGCGGTGGACGTTCGTGTGCGAGTTTCGGTGTGGACCTGTGTTTTCAGTTCTCTTGGGCGCGCACCCAAGGGGGGGACTGCCGGGTCGTGGGGTCAGTCCCTCCGACTTTGTGACTCTTTTCCAAGTGGCCGTCCTGTCCTGCCATTCACTCCTAACCCACTGCAGGCGGCCTTTCCCGCCATCTCTCCACCACGCATTTGTCCGGTCACCAGTGGCCTCGCCACCGAGCGGTGGCACTGGGCGTGCCTCGTCTTCCATGCCCGGCCTCCAGGACACAGCCTTCCACGGGTCTCCCGTCCCCCGGCCGGCCCCTCTGCCGGCCCTGGGCGGCCTCTGCACCTGGCCCCCGTGTGCCATCGTCGGTGGTGCCATCCAGGGCTCCGCTGTGCCCAGCGTTTCATCAACGTTTCTATTTCCACAGTAAAAAGATGAAGAAAGTGTCCCTGTGCCCGCGTCTGCGCCGTTCTGTTCGTAAAAGTGGAAAACGGGAAGTAACCTAGATGCCCTTCCAGGGCGAGTGGTGAGCAGACTATGCGTCCACACCGTGGGAGGCTGCGGGCCACTGGGGGCGCAGGACCTGCAGCAGCCACGGGCAGGTCCCTGGAATGCGCTGCGTGAAAAGCCAACCCTAAAAGGCTACGGACTTTATTTACGCAACATTCTTGAAGTGATGCAGATGGAGGTCAGACTCGTGCCTGGGTCTCTGAGGGACGGGGGGCTGGACGAGGGAGGGGAGAGGCCTGCAGACGAGTCCGCATCTCAACTGAACCAGCATCATGATCCTGGCTGCAGTTTTGACTAGTTGTTAAAACCAGTGAAAACCGGGGAACACCTGTATGGGATGTCGGTTATTTCCTACAAGTGCGTGTGTCTACAATTATCCCAAAATAAAAATGTGCAGTGTTTGAAAAAAAAGTTTGAGATGGTTTTGATTATAGGCTTCTCTATTTTGCAGATATCCCGAGAGTTGGAACCGATTAAGTGACCTCTAAGATTCTCCCGGCCCTGCAATTCAAGAATTTAAGCGCTGTTTAAGGAAACTTCCTCACATTCGCGCTAAGGCCCCTCCCCAGGGGATGCTGCAGGCTGGGCCCCGCGCCCGCGTCCCTAGCGGGTCTGCTGGAGGGAAAGGCACCAGTGGTGCCGCCTGACGTCCAGTTCGGTGCAGGGTGACCATGGCCTGGCCAGGCCACCCGTTTCCTGGGCCAGGAGGACCCAGCTGAGAACAGGACTCAGAGTGGCCAGCTTGGCACTGGAACCCCGTCCAGGGGCCACGGCTGTTCCCGGGTCACATGAGCAGGACCGGCTCTTTGGGAGCTGATGGTGGCCCAGTGCAAGGAGCGTTCCTTTTTTTAAGCAACGGCATGTTCCAGAAAAAATAACTTGCTGCAGAGTTTTCTTTCAGGAAGTGAGAGTAGCCTCGCTGTGAGCACGACGCTGGCTGTGAGGGTGAGCTGGGCGGCCTGGCCCTCGTGTCTGGAACTGCAGCGTCCAGGCAGGGTCTCGGTGTCGTGGCCACCTCGCCCGGAGGGTCCTCGAGGGCACCCACAGTGTCACCTGCAGGCACCCTGCCCCACACGGCCGGCACCCTCTCTCCTTGTCTCTTAGGCCTCATGGGGGGCGTCGCCCAGCCCAGCAGTGCCCCACGACGTCACCGCGCTGAGGGCCAGCATCCCCGGGCCCCGTGCAGGGAGAAGAGAGCCCAGTGGCTTCCGGCAGCCGACGGCGTGAGGTCGTGTCTGAGCACGACCAGGGGACAGTGCACAGGGCTGTGGTGGCACCAACGGGCAGGCGGACACACCCACACCCAGGAACGGTCCGGCCCGGGGGCAAAGGACAGCCCCGTTGCATGGTGGAGAGGAGGGGGTGTCTGCAGGGTGTGAGGAGGAGCACCCCGGGAGCCCGCATTTGACAGGAGCTTCGTTGCCTGGGAGGCACTGGGCCCCACTCGGCAGGAACAGCGGGAGACACGCAGGGCGCGGTGGAGGGCGCGGTGGAGGGCACGCTTAATTAA